TATATATATATATATGCATTTAAATTTACTACTATAATAATAATGATCGTTATTATTTTTCTTTTTTTATTCGTTTGTTATCCTGCTTTTTGCACTAACAGTATATTTAAGTCACTATGCTCCAAGAACACCTACGACCCCTCAAAGACACTTGTTATCTCATCCGCAATCACTCTCACCCACTGTAACTCGCAATAGAAGCATTTGTCCTTCACCTACTCCAATGTTTCAACATCTTTATCATGCAGTTGCGTATTGGGAAAAATTTTTACTTGATCGATCTCCCACACCTGGCACAGATCAAGAAAACATTGCTTCTTTGAACCCTAATCCTAAAGAGGAACCAGATGGTGGTGATGCTCAACCGTCTGGATCTTCATATTTTGCTTCTGCATCTCATCCACCAGTTTCCCCAGCACGTCGCATGACTGTTCCTTCTATACGTGTCTTAGAGTATGATACCTGTCAAGTAGTAACGCTAGATCCTGTGTACCCCTCGCATACAGACCTGGACGATATTAGTCAGCCGGAGAATGGAGTAGTAGCTGATGCTGAAATCAGCGCCTCGGACAGTGAATCTGAAGCATCAGCCAAAGAAGATCAATCGGAACCAATCACCGAAACACCATACGTAGCTAATGAAAATGAAATTCTTGGAACGGTAAGCAGTAATTCCGCACAATACAATTCTTAATTAGAATACATATTTATAACGAGATATTTACAATTCATAGAACTTTATTTTTTATAAAAGTTTTTCTGAATTACTTCGATTTTTCATGAATATGTAATTTTATACTGCATTTATTTCCTGTAGTTACTATACTGTTATCAATTAATAGGCCGGTGAAGTCGTTGCAGAACTACAAGAAGAACAAAAGTCTTTGATATGGTTCTTAATGAAACAACTTCGTCCTGGCATGGATCTGTCTAAAGTTGTATTGCCGACTTTCATTCTGGAATCACGGTCGTTTCTGGAAAAACTGGCCGATTCGTATTATCACGCCGATTTATTGTCTCAGTTAGTAAAACATAGTAATATATTAGTACATTATGATTTTCTTAACACATAGAATAAAGGAATATAATTTCTAAATTTTATTTAATTTTATAGAGCAGTATTGGAAGATGATGCATTTACACGTATGAAAGCCGTAGTGAAATGGTATTTATCGGGATTTTACAAAAAACCACAAGGCTTAAAAAAGCCATACAATCCGCTTTTAGGCGAAACATTCCGCTGTTATTGGCAACATCCTAATGGTTCAAGAACATTCTATTTAGCCGAACAAGTACGATCCAGAAGACAGTAAATTAATTATTGATTAATTAAAGAGATTTTGTGTATGTGCGAGCGCGCGCGCGCGTGTGTGTGTGTGTGTGTGTGTGTGTGTGTATGTAGCTAATTATTTATTATTTTTTTATGAAAAAGTATCATGTTTGATATTAACAAATATATCTAAAACTTTCTTGCTAGTTATCGCATCACCCACCTATCTCAGGATTTTATGTGACAAATCGTCAAGATGGATTTACTATCAGCGCTACGATCATTGCAAAATCTAAATTTTATGGTAATTTGTTTATTATATAGACTATAGTAATATTGATATATACTTCTAGAGCCAATGTATATAGCGATAACATTATTTATAATATACATATCTTACAGGAAATTCGACCTCTGCAGTTTTGGATGGTATCGCTGTATTGACAATGTTGCCGAGAGGCGAAGATTATACAATGACAATTCCTTATGCACATTGCAAAGGCATTCTTATGGGGACATTATCTATGGAACTTGGTGGAAAAGTGAACATAATATGCGAGAAGACTGGCTATCACACAGAATTAGAATTTAAACTTAAAGTAATATACATAATATATTTGGTTTTTTGTTATATAATTACCAATATTATTAATAAAATTATTTTAAAGATATAACGAAATCTTAATTTATCTCTTATGTTATAATAAGATTTAATTATATTAATTTGACTAAATAATGTTAATGTAATTAAAAATATTACAATAATTTATATATTTTTAGCCGTTTCTTGGCGGTGCGGAATTAATGAATCAAGTTGTGGGACGAATACGCCTAGGAAAGGAAACTTTGGCTACTATTATGGGATACTGGGATGGATTAATTTTAATAACGGATAAACGGACAGGGGTAAAGTAAACTTAAATCTTACTCGATAATTTTAGATAACTATTAAAATGTAATGTTTTATTTTACAGCAAGAAAACATTTTCTTCAATCCTACTCCGGAAATACGAAAAAAAAGATTGAAAAAATATACTGTTCCTTTGGAACATCAGGGAGTATGGGAAAGTGAAAAATTGTGGTTGACTGTTACACAAGCTATTAATAGGGACGACCAGGTTGCCGCTACTGACGCTAAAACTCGACTCGAGCAAGCACAAAGAGAACGCGCTAAAGAGCGAAAAAGTCTAGGACAAGAATGGATTCCAAAATATTTCGTTCAAGTACGATATACATCATTTTCACATTTAATGTTTATGTTTATATATTGGCGGATAATTAATTAAATATTTATCGAATATTAATATTTGCAAAATAATTTCCAACTTTTTCTGATTTCATTAGGATATTATAACTGGAAATTGGGTTTATCGACATGCTGATATAAGACCATGGGATCCGAGAAACGATGTAGTACAATATGAAGAAAATTATGTAGTGCGCACAAAGACCAGGCATAAAACACCTATTATGCGTACTGGTAGTATCGTTTCTACTGAACCCCAATCACAGGTACAGCGATGTAAGATGTAGCACTATGCATGCTATATTAATATTTGTACACATTTGTATAAGTAATAATTACATTAATCGTTTTATGTGTCTATTTTATTCTTTTTCCGGCAGTACTATTGAACAACTGCATGTTATACAGTTTTATTCTATTTGCTATCGATGGATTTAACTAGATTGTATACAGCTCTGATATTTTTAATAAACTTGTTTCGCTTGACTTGTAATTTACATTGGTATTAATATTAATTAGATTATTCTATTTATTATTCTATTCTAGGTTATTCTATTTATTAATCAAAGTAACATTATTTTTGCGTAATCATTTATTGAAACTTCTATTTTATGATTAATGTAAACTATATAAAAATTTAAAATTATTACACATTCAAAGTAAGTTTCAAATATATATCTTAGAAAATTATAATACAAAATTCATACTTAATATAATATATAATTTTCCACATTTAAAGTTTTATAATTTTGAACATATATGCATACATGTATTATTTGTGCTTTAATTAATATACATGCTCACTAATCTAGAAAGCATTTTATCAGTTAGTTTGAGTACAATTCCTAACAAAAAGACATAGTTTCAAAAATGAATTAAAAAGATTTCTAAGATTAGATTTCAAGCTTAAGAGACATCGTTCATACATATTTAAATGTGTTTAATCATAATCTAGATTACAAATCGTTGCAGATTCCATTATTACAAGCTGAATCACGTTCCTCCTTATCAGTGCTCAAATCTTCTAAAAGGCAGCTATCAAATAATATGCCTTTAACAGAGGCTCATGATTCTGCAAGTTCATCTGCAGAAGCACATACGGATTCTAGTCAATCGTTAGGAAAAAGAAAACGTTCAACCACTAGGTAAGAACATTAAAATGTAAATATTGTTAATTATTAATTACATAATAATGCGTACAAAATTTAAATATGTTTGCATTTATATATATGTACGTATGTATGTATATGTATGTACTTAAATATATTCATTTTAGGTTAATTGACATAATAAAACAAGTTGAGCATCAAATGATAGAACATGGTGAGAAATTGAATCGTATACAGCAGATTGTAGAACAAGTTGTAAGAAAACAAAGAGAATCTGGTGAACAGCATCACAACATAAATATGTTCAAGAGTTTCGTGGATACTATACTTATTATTGTTATCGTTTTTTCCGTGCAATATTTTTTAAACATATGGCATAATGATTGAACTAAAGATTGAGGGGTTTTAGTAAGATTGTTCTCTCTTTATCTTTTGTCACACTGTATTTGAATTGTATGTATCACTTGTTTTCCTATCTTCTAAAATTCTTGCAACGTGGTGTCGGTATCTTATGATCACGGTGGAATGAATCCTTTTATGAAAGAAGTATAATAATATAATTTTTATTTCAAAACACAATATACGTGAAACATTCTCATTGATATAGAAATATAAAATATTAAGAGAAAAAGAAAATATATATATATATTAAGAATTTTACATTTTACACATCCCATGCAATGGTGGTAATTTTGTTATATAGATGCAGAAATATAAGAAAATTTAAGTCCAGGAAGTTACAATCTATATTGTATATAAGGCTTAATACTGGAAGAATTATAAGTTCTCGAATTATATATATATATATATATATGTACTAATATATATATATATATATATATATTAGTATAATTTTTATTGCAACCAGCCAGTACCAAATTGTAATATAATCATATAATTGTAAAATATTCAGATGTCACTTTACAGCTAATTTATTATAAATCCCGCTATATTTAAATCTGTATTAATATATGATATAATATCATGTAATTTGATTCTGATGTGATCTCAAATAATCTATATTAAGCAATCTTATTCATATTTGTAAATCAATTAACTTTATTATCATTATCGAATAATTTGCATAAAAATGTTCTTTATACTATTGATAAAAATTTTCTTTAAAAACTCCGGTACAGAAAGCTTATGACATTTTATATTTTATTTACTGCTAAGCTTATCATGTGATATTTCGATATAGCAATAGTATCAGATGTGTGCGTGCGTGCGTGCGTGCGTGCGTGCGTGTGTGTGTGTGTGTGTGTGTGTGTGCGTGCGCGCGCGCGCGCGCGTTTGTGTAAAAGAATCTATCCAACTCGCTTGACATTTCATCAGACATAATTTTTTTTAATCAATAAACATATTTATGTAATTTTTGAAAATTTTAAATTCAATAAAATAGTATAGTTTAATATATATAAATCATTCTATGCATATAGCTATCTATAATTTTGTATATATTAGAAATATGGATTTTCTTGTTACAAATTATGCGTGAAATTATGCGTGAATTTAAAAAAATTTAAATATATTAAAGTATATAATATATAAATTATATAAATATATATATAATTCGTCAAAAAACTTTTAAATAGATTAATTTATAATATTGATACTTTTTAATTGTATGTTAACAATTTTGGTTATTGTTTATACACATTTTTCGATATTATACAACTTAATTGATTTTTCTTGAATTATGAAGAGAAAAAGGTAAAACTTTTCTTAATGTATATTCTTAATTTACATTTGCTAAAATATTAATTAATACCACTAATATTATATACATAAAAGAAAATATATTAAAATACAAACTAAATACGCTTACAAATTTGTATGTATAATATAACTAAAAAATTACTTTATTAAAGAGTGGAATAGCTATTATTTTAGTCATAATTTGTCACAATATAAGTTAATAAATTAACTTATTTTATTTTTTTTATACTTATAATTTGGTAAAAATTTGAAAAATATATACTTATTTTATATATTAAATATAATATTATAGATAAAAAATTCCTTTTTAACACATATATACATATATAATTAATAATATATATAATGCAACAAAAAACATATCAGCTCTACTAACACCTCTTTTACAGTTTTATGAAAAAAAATAAGAATAACTTTTATTAATGCAACATGAAATTTATTATCTTGGACTTATTATCTTTATGTGAACTTATTTATGACTGATGTCAATCATTTTAAAGGTAATAAGTAAATAAAATATTCATATAGTTTTATTTCATTATACAATATTTTTCTTAAATTTGCTTCGATTGTCTCTAAATAGGTATGTATTATTTTATACAAATAAAATAACTTCATATATATATATATATTTCTTAATTTCATCGATTTTAATTCAAAGGTAAAAACCATAGTGGAATTAGACATCATGATCTAATTTCATCATGATAAAAACAACGAAATAAATGTATACATGTATATTATGAAAATTGTCAGTTACATCCAGAACAAAATGTCAAAATAACATAAACTTATCGAATCAATACTACTAATAATATAAATTAAAAATTGTAAGTTCAAATATTACAAAATTTTATTTGTTCAATGATATATACACATACATCAAATTCAAAACAATAAATTCTTAGACGCTTTTTCAAAAATTTTACCAGAAAGATTATTTATTTTCGAGACGATTTTATTATAAATCTTAATTATAATATATTTATATCTTTTTTATTGTAAATCTTGATTGATTTATTTTAATATATATTTTATTATAATGAAAGTATACACATAGATATTGAACATTTTTTCTTATTTTATTTTGTACGTTCGATTAGAATAAAATATTCTAACAAAGCTTATTTTGTATTTAGATGGAAGTGATCCCGATAACTCCGCAAATGCTACGTACAGCCATAAAAGAATTACAAAAACGTCAATTGTTTGTTAAATTAAAAAATTTAAAAGATCATATACAGAGACATTATCCAGTTGAAACCGATTTAGAAACTCTCGAGCAAGAATTACAAGAAAAACTGAAATATGCTGTTTGCGTTGGACTGATCGCTAAATGTGGAGATGACCAATATTATATACCAACTTTACGAGAAGAGGCTAATGCTTTTAAAACAGCGATCAGCGCATTCTGGGAAATGAACAAAAATGTAATACAATACGTCGAGTTCTTTTACGTCAACTTTTTTATTTTTTATGCAACAAAGTGCAGTTAACCAATAAAGATCCTTTTATTAATTTAGAACATCAAGAAAAAGAAAAAATCAGATACCAAAAGATCGCTACCATATCAGAAACAAAACAAGTATATAAATTCCTTTAAGAATGATGAAACTAATAGCAGCGAGGATTCAGATTTTTTCTAATCAATTTTTTTTTAGACATATTTTTATATATGTTCTATATGATATGAAATTATATACATATATATATATATATTTGATTTGTAAAAATAATATCTATATAAATTTATGAAATATATAAACGGTAGAGACGCAATTACGCAATTTAATTATAATACAATAAAAGACCTAATGCTGTGTGGTACCAAGTACAGAAAATGAATTGTTTACATCGTAAAATTCTTCGCTGGTGCTTTCTTGTGGTGGATTTTCTTCATGATTTTCTTCGTGTGAAATACACTTCTTTTTTTCATATCTTTTTACTTTTTGCTTCTTATATTTATCGGCTTTATTTTCTAGTGCAGTATTAAACAAAGGTTTGACTTTTAATAAAAGTATGTTAAATAGACGCGATAAACTCGGGGAATCTTGCAAAATTAAATTAATATAAGCTTCAATATTGTCACGTTTTTTAAAATTACTACATAAATTATACAATAATGTACCATTGAACACACTAGCAACTCTAGTTGGTTCATAAGGATATCCCAATAATGCATTTAAGTTCATGCTATGCCTCAAGCAATTTTGAAACTCTGCAAAACCATGAACAATTGTAATATTAAATTTTTTTGGTTGCAAATGCAGTTTCTGATCTACTTCAAAATTAGATATAAAGAATGCAGCTGCAATTAAGCAGTCGTTAGCATCAACTTCGCGAATGGCATCTGCAAGCGTAGCATCAATTGAATACTGTGGTTGATAATTTTCCATTTTTCTTTCGTGTCGAATATTGTCTACAGTTCTATTAAATCTCTGACAGAATTTGTTTAAGATTCTATAAAAACCTATATTACAATCTATTAAGTTAAATAACAAAGCAAATAATAAAGAGTATACATGACAATTGAATTTAGATGGTTCCTCTTGTTGATCAATCCAATACTTCATAGTGGCAATATATAACATCCAAATTGATGGAATTTCATTTATATATTTTGCATTAAAAATTGTCAAAGTGCTATTTAAAATTTCTCTTCTGATGACAATGGATACTTCTCTTAAATTGAGTAAAGGAGGTAGTTTGCAACCAAGTATATTGTCACTATACTCCAATTGATAACGCTTTATTTTCTTATTTTCGTCTCGGGTAATATATTCCATATTGGACTTCCTTCCCTGAACTCCTGATATCAGTAATCCATAAATAACACCTATAATTTTTAAACTTACAACAATAGATGAAATGCAGAAAGAATCTTCAATTTGAGCAGGACAAACATACAACTTCCTTATTATTAAATCTATAAAATAGGAAGGAAATCTACTTTGTTTAAATTCATTAATAAACCACTGAGGTAAATTGTCAACCAAAGACTCATTAGAAATCAACTTCTTTTCTTCAAGTATGTCTGTTATTTCTCTGTCTTCTATTTCCTCCCCATCACTCAGCTCTGTATCATTTATTCTTTCGTCAATAAATGTCAAATTATATATATCACCTTCAAATTTATAAATCTTGGGCATATTCTGCATATTTGCCCTTGAAAAGCTTTCTGCAGGAATACTTAGCGTATTTAACACACTCAATGGTGCATTAGTATAACTATTTATTACCGTTTCTATTGTATTTAAAACATGTTTACGTTCTTGTTTTCGTAGTCTTCTTAGTATTCCTATAACAGCTTCATTTAAACTACGTCTTCGTAGCCAATCGAATGTCATATCTATACGCCGTTGTTGTTCATTGTTATATCTCCTCCTTCCTGATCGTGGCAGATGACGGAAGAAGTTTTTAAACTTATGTTGCTTTACATAATCATTTCCTAGTAATACTGCTGCTAAGGGCAATAAAGACTGGTTTAATCCATAATAAACCTGGAAAAGTTTATTAACATAATAAATTTTACAGCGATTTATATAACCTCTGCCTGTTGGGTTAGGCACTATATCAGTTTCCAATGTATTGAATGGTATGTATAACGATCCATAAATGTAGAAGTCAGAATCATAACTCAATACAGGACAATTGAGAATGCGTGCTATCATAGCTATGGTATTGTCTGCTTCAAATATACACTGCGCATATCTAATGCCTTTTTCTTTCATGATATCTTTGAAGACCTCTCTCATAAGTAGAGGGAGAAATTTGGTCCGGTGCTGAGAAGATAAAGTATAATTTGATGCAATCTCAATTTTCTGTTTAGTTCGAGATATAACTGTCTTCAGCTTTTTGTCTTCGCAACCACCATCAATTAAAACCAATGGAGTGACGTTGCATCTTAGGAGTTTATCGAAAAAATCCTTCACATATTGTGCATATTTGTCATAATCACCACCAAAAGCACAATTGCATCTTGCATACCAAATATACAGTTGACAACACACACTATTGCCGTCAATTACTAAATAAGTATCATGTAGAGCATAATATTCGAGATAACGCTCTGAATCATTCGATATATACGTTGTTAGACCAGGGATACCCATTCTAAAAGTTAATTTTCTTCAGGAAAAGCTATAAATAAAAACTTTATTCAATGAGCTTCTATAAGATAATAAGCATTGATATTTTTAACATTTCTTAAAACTCTTTTTTAGTATTTTATGTAATTAACTCTCTTATTTTCACAATATTTTCACCTTATTACTTACAATGTGTTCATTTCAGTCTACTTATGATTCTTTTTCTTCTTGCTTAATGGCTCCTGCCTCCGTCTATTTATGATTGAATATAATTGTTGCTGCGCCAAACTCGCTTTGCTCGCGTATCGCTGCGCACGACACAATGGCAGCGAACGAGAGAAAAACAAAACTAAAACAAAGGCATACTAACGGCCGAACACGTGAGCGGAAACGCTCCCGTGATGTCTTGCGCGCGGGTTACGCGTATCGTTTTGGGCGCGAACCGCGCATTCTACAATAATTTTTATGAGAGAAAATTAGAGACGTCAAGACATGACATAAAGACTCATAAAGACAAGAGGTCTGTTTCTTATTGCTGCACTTTCTGAACTGGTACACACAGTGCAATAAGTTGAAGTGAAACAAATATATGTTCAGAGTGCAGCAATAAAAAACAGACCTAAGGATATGCTTGTCCGATAGTAATCCACTGGGGTGCGTTCCAAAACTTGACTAGGTTTCCATCGAGGGTTTAAACCGGATTAGAATGTAAGAATCAACTAACTACAGTCAAATGTTCCTCTGTACAATCGAACGACGAAAAAGCTGAAGACGAGGGGAATGCTCGACTATAGTTGGTTGATTTTTACATTCTGATCTGGATTAAATCCAGATGCACCCAATTATTCAAATCGGTTGCAAAACTGTTGTTCTGCTGAAGCTATTGCGTATATGTTCGGCAAATCTGTCCGGCGATTGTCTAACGATTTTGTCCGACGAAATTGTCTTGCGATTTTGTTCGAAAATTGCCGGACAAATTAGAATTAATTAAAAATAATTATAAATTAGAATAAATTATAAATATTTGTTTAACATTTTTGAATGCATAAAAATGACGAATTTATGATAAGAAATTTTAGAAAATCGAATTTGTTGTGAATATGACTTATTTTTCAAGTTACAAAATTTATATATATATATATATATATAGATAAATATACACAAAGGGTTTACTTATGCGCCTTCCAACAAGCGACACAGTGCAACACAGTGATCATGGATGCGTTCTCAGTTACACATGATTTATTGTTTTATCCTTCTTTATTATTTGGTGAACAACAAGGACAAATGATGCATCATGCGAAACTCGGAACACATCCCAAGTCATCTTTGGGTCAACGCGATGCTGCGAACGCTTTGAAACATTAATTGGTCAGTTTGCAAAATTCTTTCTTCTGATTGGTCCATCAAATGCTTCAAAACATTTGTAGCGAGACTTTGACCACAGCCTTTGTTTAACATTGGCAACAAGAATGTAATAATCCATTGGATCACACCGTGGTGCTATTTCATTTGGGTATTTTTGTCGTACGACAAATGTGTACAGAACAGAGAGGTCCTCTCGGATATCTCTATCCCATAGCCAATCAAGGCTTGAAAAATTTTGCACATACTGTTGCCCAAAAGTTGAAACATTTCTTCAACTTTGAAAAGAAACTTTCATCAATTTTATTTATTGATATTATAAATGTTTAAAAATGTACAACATACTGTTCCAATAATAAATTTTATTTTAATAGTGTACATTCAAAAAGAAAATAATTGTTATTTTCAAAATAACATAATTATGTGTAAAGAATTATGATTTCATGTAAAATTACGGTGTCCCAAACTTTTGAGAGGTAGTGTGTATGTTAGATACAGAACTAGCAACAATGATAAAGTACATAAAGACGCAGCATATGATATAATTAATTTAATTCATAATTAATTTAATAGAAATATGTACATATAGAGAAACTAGAGATGTCTATATATTTTTTATTTTACCACACAAAAAGCTAAAATAGTATATTTTTAAAGTTCTCTTAAACATGGAATGCATTCTTTGTTAGACCAATCGTCACCTGTCTTCATGTTAGTTACAAATTTGCTGAAAAAAAATATTGTATAAATTACTTTATAATCAAATTATTTGTCACGAAATTGATACTATAAAATTATATTGCTAGATTACTACTATAAGGAGTTCTAATTCTCATCAATTCTCACATAATGACTTAATTAAATAAAAGATATAAAAGATTTTTAAAAAATCTCTTTCTTTTATCTTGTCTTTTTTTTTCTTCCAAATAAATGAAAAAATTCTAATAATTAATATTGTACAATAAATCTTATCGCATAAACGTTGTAGATAAATAAATATCATAAATGTCAGACTTTCAAATTAACGTGCATATTTTTTCATTTGATTCTGTACTTTTTGTACCATGATTATTCACAAGCGCCCGATCTCTCTCGTCCCATATAGTGAGGCCGTCGCATGCGCAAATTTTCTTTGTATTTTGAAACAATCCAGATGATCTAGCTATAATACCACAAGCCAATCTATGAAGAAA